CCCCCACAAGCGAAAGTGCCACTCACTTGTGGCACCTATAGGGAACCATCCCCACCAAAGAAGTCAGGCGGCACCGGCTGGAGGTTGTGATGGGGGTGGTGTTTCCTTCGGAGGTGATGTTTCTTCTTTGGCCAGACTTGTGATGAGCTGAGGAATGGTTTTGAAGTGGTTGAGCCCTGAGATGAAGGATGACCATGATTTGTGCCTGGCAGCTGTGCAGCAAGATGGTTTCGCCTTGCAGTTCCGTGGTGACAGCATGGAGTGATGGGATGTGGAAGGTCAGGGTGAGATCTCAGGAGTTTGCACCAAGAATCACACAGTCCTCCTAGGTCCGAGATATTTGACCACTGATTGACCAAATGGTGATCATCACTTCACCCATGGGCCTGGGTGGAATGATGTCCTGAAGGGGAACGGCTCTCACCTCTTCCCCTTGCCCGGCCGCACGGGCCCGCCCGGCGCCGCACGGGGTTCGGTGTGTTGAGGTTTGCTTCTCCCCGGCTACGGCAGAGCAAAACCTTGGTCCTCGCCGCCGTGTCGCGCGATGGCGCCGCGCTGCAGTTCGCATCGCCAGAGCTGTGTGAGGATCGCGAGGTGGTGCTGGCTGCGGTGGAGCAGCCGGGAGAAATGAGAGGGGCCAACTCCAGGGGTGGCTGACTGAAGAAGTTTTTGAAAGGTGGAGAAGATGCAACATTTGAGTAGGAAAGGTTATATATATGTTGAACATTTTTGTTGGTTGGAACTCCTTGGGCAAAAGTGGATCAAACAATCTCCCAGTCCAATGGAATTGTTCCAAGATTTGAGGCAGGAAGGAGATCTTCGTTCGAAATTCACTTGTTTCGATCCAGCCTAGTGCTTGAAGCAGCGACGGCATCCAATCAGTCATTGCCAGGGAGTTCTTCATTGCATAGGCATAGTGACCATTAAACACAATATAATAGAAACGCAACTTCAACGCAAGCCCAGGATGTATGGCAAACTCCGGACTACGGTGTCACTCACATCGCCTGTTTCGGAAAGGCTTGCCGCTTACTCCAGCAAAAGCTGCCCCTTCGTGTCACCAAAAGCCGGCTCTCTCTATTCCGCGCAGAAAGTGGAGTCCACCAAGGCAGGAGTCCTACAGCTTGACCTATGCCTCGGAGAGTTTGACGCCTGGATTTGAGAACCTCCTCAAAGAGGGCTTTAGAACGCGCAAGAGAAGGTTGGAAGGTCATGTAGAGTGTTGATGATCAAACCCCCACATAGAGATGTTGTGTGGGGACCATTATCCATCCACTGTCTACATTGTGGGGAGCCCAAAATCAGCTACCGCACTGTTGGGAGTCCGTTATGGTGGGTGGATGTGTTCGAGGTGTTGCCGCGTGAAACCCACGTTAAACGGTGCGTGTTCTGGGCCTCGAAGGTGCTTGGGGAAGAACGACTTTTGTTCCTACCCTACTCCCCTACTCCCTTGATTTTATAGAGGCTAGGATGGTGTGTGTGTGTGTGAACGTTCAGTCACCGGATGTCAAGACCCCACGCATAGTCCCACGCGTAAAGACTTGCGATGATGGCCAGTCTTTGGGGCTGGTACCATTGATCCACCGATCCCCCTCGGGTGCTTTGAAGAACCTAAGAACCATATGAGGACAAATAGATGTCCCTCCGCATTGCTTTTTCCACGTCACTCACGGCCCACCACGGACGGGGAGCGGGCGGACCAGTCTTGATGTCTTGATCTGATGAGCGCAAGCTACCTGGATCTGCCAGGATGGATTGATATTACGGCAAGTTCGCTGGAACCAAATGGATCTTCCAAATGGTTCCCAGACACTCCATGTATGCCATATATGCCTAATTACATTGACCCCTCAAACCACCCCAATGTAGGCATATATATACCCGTCTGGAATCCAACTATTTTTTCCTGGACCTGGGCAACCAC